ATGATATGTCGTACATGAATATTATCGAAAGTTTTGCTCATGAAATCTGTACTGTATTAATACACACCAATTATTCATCTTTGTCTCATATTTACTATATATGATTTCGGTTTATGTTGTCAATAGGTAAAGATTAATGAGATTATTCGAATAAATTCCAAAAACAAATTAAATATTGTATAGCTATTATTTTTTGACTTCTACACGTCTACCTATTTTAATATGTAAATTAAGTAGATTATTTAAAATTTTATCTCTTTGATTTGTTGCTAGAATAAATTAAAATTAAAATCAATTGATTGCATTTGTTTGTCAATTGTCAATAAATACATTGATTTGTAATAAAAAAAATTTTATCTTTTGCAAAAATATTTCAAGAATATTATCAGCCGTTTCATCAGCAAGTTCAATTGATGTAGCAAGTAATCGGAATTCAGTATGTAAATTAAGTTATTCCTCAAAATCTTGAAGTATATAAAATTTGAGAATGTCTTTTCAGTAATGAATCTAGAGAAAAGAAACTAAAAATAGACTTGAACATAATTGATAATAAAGAAAAGTTTGTTCTGTTATTAATGAGTAGAAAATAATTACTACAAATGACACTATTCAAATGAGTATGTAGTATCGAGTACTGGCAATTTGATAGCGAATTTGTTGATGAGTCTACGATTGATTCCTATAGATATTGAATTAAATTAAGGCATTTTTTAGATATATTTTCAAATGATGAAATTGAATTATTGATGGAAATTTAGCACAAGAAAAAATAATTTTTCTTTGCATTATATTCAGTTAAAACAAAAAAAGCCTTCTTATTTTGGCAGGCGGAATATTGTGGGGTTATAGTTGTCTTTTTTATCGTCACATAAGTTTTCAACAACCATTGGTATTTTATTCAACGGTATCATTTGCACATTTACTACTTAAGAGAGAGTACATCAGAAAATCACTCTGTTGCCTATAGGCCACCGAAGAACTTATTTTTGATTTTACGTACTCAAATAGATTGTGGATGTTGGTGTCAATATGGATCTCTTTCTTTTTGGTTATAAATACTGCTATTACTATTCTCTGTGATAAATGGAAATTTCCTATCTGCTGTCCACGTACTTTCACTTATATGAATATCTGAATCAACCATTGACTTCTGAGCCATTGTAGAGAATTTTATTCTTGCAGTTTGGTACATTTTTAGGTTGAACACCAGAGGGCAGCAGTACATTGCACTCAACACAACAAAGTGCATAAGCACACTCTACACTGAATTTCCATTCGGAACACTTCTGTTTTTATTTTAATATGTAGATTGCGGTCAAGACAAACAAAGACACAATGGTCGTTCTTGTTCATTTATATATAGCAGGAATGATTACAACAAAAAAAGATATTTAAAAGATCTAAGTCTACGTAGTAGAAATATGTTGATCATTATTGCTATTTTTATTTTGTTAATAAATTCATCCCAAACATACGGCTCATGCTCAAATGATGACGAATGTCCATACTACTGTGGTAACAATGGAAAATGTCAGAAGCCAATACTTCGAGGTCACACATGCTCTGGTTATACTCATCATACTCGAGAATGTGATATTGCAGCGTGGTGTGATCCAGATAAAAACTCAACTTGTCAACTTTTGAAAAGTATCGAGGAAAAATGCGAATACGATTACTCTTGCATCGACAACTACTGTGATTCGGAAACAAATACTTGCCAGTATCGGCAGTTCATCGATGAACAATGTCAAACAAATCGGTCATGTCATTCGAGTTACTGTGAAACAGAGACGAAAACATGTCAGCGAACAAAAGAATCATATTCTTCATCAGTGTTTCAGCATATGGCACTTATATGTATCGCATTATATATTTTTCGCAAAAAGGAAAAACGCGAAATCGATGTCGCTACACAAACAGATGATGAACTGAACTGAACTGAACTGAGTGTTTCATAGATGTGTTGAAATATAGACTGCTCTATTAGTAACAAGTATTTGCACGGTTCGAACTTTATTTCTAATTTTCGAAAACTTATGTAAACTGGATTTTTTTTTTAAATAAACGTGAAAAACCAAACATTTCCATAGATATTCATCTGTCCTTGTGGATTGGAAATCATGTTTTTTACTTATGGCGTAGGGTGCGAGTGTGTCATCTGCTCGTCCACACATCGCAAGATGCAATATTTTCAAATGATATTCAAGACTACCCAGTCCGTGAAATAATTTAGTGTCGTGCTGATAAAGGTCTTGAGGAAGAAAATGAAACAATCTCATTTTCTGATGGTTGAAAACAATTAATAAGACGTAATTTACAAATTGAAAATAAAGAAGAATATAATGTACGAATAGTTAATGAATTTGCTGAAATCATAAGTATAGCAAAATTACATATATTAGGTGAATTTTTTGTGACTTATTCTTTGATTGTTTTTATTTTTTTTTACAGATCTTCAGTAAATTAATGGTTAAAAAGTAAAAAATCATTAAATGTTTCACTACCACATATGTATCTTGAAACTATTGAAGATCGTTTCATAAAAGCTATACATCGTATTGATGATATTTAATCCGATGATGATAGTACATATACAATATGGATTAAAAATCTTGCTGAACAAAAAGACTAATCATCAAAATTAAATGTTTTAACTAGACAAACATTTATTAGAAAATTTAAAGATGAAAATGTGATTCAAGGATAACTAATTACATTCCAATGTCAAGCAGAAGCAATATCGAAACCTAAAGTAATATTTTAATGAAATGATCAAGAATTAAAATTAACAGAAAAAATAAATGTTCAATCAAAATGAGATATAAATGTATGTAAATTATTGTTTTCAAAAGTTGATTTGATTGGTAGTGTCAATAGTTTAGACGAAGAAGAAATAAATACAAAAAAACTATCAGCGCCAAAATATAATGTATGTCGACGTTTTTATATTAATTTTTGATAGAAATAGCATAGAGACTTCAGGTTTACACCATTCAAGAGAGAAAATCCCAAAACCATCGAAATAACTCGAAACCTGATTGATTAGTAATTGATCGATCCGGTGAATTTTTGGCAAAGATTTTGAAAATCAGATTTGAAAGTTAGTTTCCATTGAATTTTGACTTCTAATATGGTTAATCAGTGGGGAAAAGTTTTCGCTTTCTATCTATACAAACCCTGATTTCGCAACTGCTTCCGTTCAAGAGGTACGAGATTTTTTCCGAAACTCTCGATTTCAGCAATTTGATTGTGGAAGACTTCAAAAGAGCTTCAGACAAGGGTTAATCATTCAAAACTAATCCTAAATAATGTAAAAATCGAATTTTCGAAAGTCTTGAAAAAGTTGTTTTAGGTCGCTTTTTTTTAGTAATTGACCGTCTTACGAGTCAAAATCAAGCGGGAATTAACTTCAGAATCTAATTTTCTAAGTATTCACCTAGAACTCATCTGATTGGTAAATTGCTAACCAAGTCGATTTCGAATTATTTTGATGATTTCGGGTGTTTCCCCTTTGAATGGTGAAAATCAGGACGTAGTAAATTCAGTTTTTTAATACAACCGTAGTCTTTGATAAAGAAATGCATCTTGTTACAGTGACAAATGTCGTTGGAACAGATGAACAAAAATTTAATCTTGATGTTAAAAGTTGATGTTTGTTTTTTAATTATTTATTTATTTTCTACTAAACATTATTATAAATAACTATGGTTTGCTATTTAGTAATCAAAGAAACAATTATTCGTGTTCTTGAAGCTACTGATAATCCAAAATCAACAGTTCAATTCTTTTGTGGTACAAACACAACTTGTTGCTACTAAGGGTGAAATTAAAATGGAAGCATCTGGAGATGGTCAAATATTTACAGTTACTATACTTAGGTATTTCATAAAAATACTAAAAATGATGTTGAAATTCAAACACAAACTAATAAAGGTCTTTAGACACTTTATATTCCTTAATTTAATGCAATAAAACATATGAGTATACTATGATGTCGTGTAGACAATACTATTGAAGATTCAGTTCAATTAACGCTATAACAGCTTCAACATTAAAGACATTATTAGAAGATCTTGCAATTTTATGAGAACAAGATATAATATCAAGATTATCCAATACTGAAAATGAAAATTCATTGAATTGAATGGCAAATATACTTGATCGGATGATCAACATTTATCAATAAATAAATCATAATTTTCAAATTGAAAATAAAGATGAATAAGCTGTTCGAATACATAATGATATTGATGAAGTTACAAGCTAAGAGTTCATGTTTAAGTATCCTATTTCATTATTATAACTTGGTGTTTTTAATTTATTTTTCATTTTAAATTTCCCCAAGTATATCACCAGTAACCATCAGTAGGTTTGAATGTCCTTCGTAACCACACCCACATCATCCTCATAAACAAAGACTTGCTGTTCTTCATATCTGAACTTTATTTTGCTAACCATAATATAAAATCGAACATCGTTCAATAGTTCTGTATGTTCCCTTGTAAATGTAGAAGAGTGTTACTCTCATATTTCGGAAAAAATAAAAATAACAAGCAATCATCGGTGATATAAGTGTTACATAAGTTATTTCCTTGTATACAACTGCGTCGATTGAACAAGAATTTTCTATTAAGAATATAACATCTAATAGATTTTGTTCTTCACTAAGATCAATTTAATGATATATAGTAATCTTTTATTATCATCTTTTAAATTATTATTGATTGCTTTCATGACTTTGCAAGCAATTATCACTAAAAACAAAATAAGAAACAAAAACTCTGAAAGTAGTTGAACGTCAAATGCGAAAAAAAAATAAAGCAACTCTTGTTCAGTGCTTCGATGGCAAATGTATACCAACAATGATTCTTCTGTGTGTTATTAAATAAGATCTTTCTCATATCGCCAATATATATATAGACAAGGGTATTTGTAAAAGAAAAAAGCTTTTACACTAATCTTTTTATTCAAAATAAATTTTAACTACTGCTATGTTATCATTACCACCACAACGAAAACCAATTGCTTTCATATGTGGTTGTAAAAGAATGGTCTATTGTTAAGTCTGTATGATTGATAACCCATTCTTGAAGATTTTTAGTTGTTTCATCTGACATTGAGCCACCGACATGTAGTGCAAAAAGTTCTTTCTTATTCCAAAGTGTAACTATAGCCAATATAATCGAATCAATGAACATTTTTGATTTTTTCATATTTACGGTAAGTTCAATAAGATGATTGAATACATGAGCAATACGTTGTAATTGCTCCAAATCAATATTTTCTCCTTTAAAAATTTCGAGACGAACAATTCGCTTTTGTAGTAAATTGCATGAGGGTTCATCATCGAGTAGAATCTTGATACAATCGCACTCGACAATTAAGAATTCAAGATTAGGTGCTGCCTGAAGCAAAGGAAATAGTTGACATACACCATGTACTTCAAGTTTCTTAAGCCAAGGTAGTCGACGACGAATAGATTGAGTGGATGACATCACTTTACATATAAAGAAACAGATAAATTAATTCATCTTGCTTAAAAATAATATTAAAATTTCATTTGGATGACATTTATAAATAGGTATGAAGACTATAGTAATTTAATTCAGAAATAATACAAAAAAAGGAATACATTGTCATAGGCAACTAATCTATGGCTCATATTAGATGTTAAATAGAATGAAAATACAATTAGTTTCATATATGTTACAATTTTATAACTACAATTAAATAGCTGCAAAAAGTGGTTATCTATTAAGTTACTGAAAACTGAATTAATGTGAACCGTACACAGTAGTCGAATATTTCAATAATGAATTTTGTGAAATATGAAATGACATCCACGGATAAAACTAGCTAAATGATAATTACAAATCAATCACAAATAAAAGATTAGCTCTTTCGGGTCTCTCGGTGGTTCTTTGTCATTGCGCTGTCTCATATAAATACATAGCACTTTTATTAATTAGTAGACTAATGAAGTTATTTGGAATATTCATACATGTTAAAAGACAAATAGTCACAACGTATTGGCATATTGAAAACTCAAGCAAATAATTCTCTTTCTCGCTCTCTCTCTGCTTTTTATTTTTAAATTTTTAGTCCTCTTCGAGTCACTTAAAATAACTTTCGTAAAACTTTGGAAACAGCTGAGTCGACCATATCACGACAATATAATGAATATTAGTCAATTGAAAAGGTTTGTATTGATTTTTCATTAGAAAAATGTTCACCGACTAGCTTACAAGTTTTAAATAGGAAATGCATCTCGTATGAAACTGCATATTAACAAATTAGAACTCATGAAACGTACCATTTTCTGGTTTGTTTTTTACATCAATCATGAGTGTTCGAAGCCAATGAAAATGCTGTACTATTAAAATTATTTCACTAAAAGATGTTACATCGTAGATTTGTAAATCTTCAACTTGTTGCATATGTGTCCAAGAAGATGATAAATGTTTACTTATCGTTGCTGATAAAATAGTTGAATGTAAGTAACAAGGCATGGTGTACAGTAATACACAATTATTATCTTCATCCAGGAAATAGTTTATTGGCATAAGGTTTAACCATGATGTAAGTAGACGATCTATTTCAAAAGTTGATTGCGAAATATAATATCGAATGAGAAAATGAAACTGTTTGAGAGATGAAGGAAGTATTGATGTTAGATTTTCTCCGTTGATTAGACGTTCATCACCTGTCCATAAATCAAGTGTTAGCTTTTGCAAAAATGGCATATGACTTAATAGATGAGTAAAGTCGTCGAACATCCATAAGAAATTGACCAAACGTAAATGAAAATCAGTTAAATAAATAAGAGGTGATAAATCAATGGATAAGTGATGATAGTCTTGTTCATACCATATTTTTTCAACACAAACATGTAAACGTTTTATGTTGGGTATGAGTTTAAAAAGACGTGGTAGTATATGGATAAACTCCAATTTAATTTTAAGTTGTTGAATATTTGGAAATGAAATATTTTTATCATCATCTTCGAAGAGATTCAAAGCAATTGAGTCAATATCGAATGATATTGATTTGAGTCGTCCATTATTGGAAGCAAAGATCTTTGTCAATAATTTATCGTCAGCATCTTCTTTGAGAAATCGAATATCAAGTTCAACAAGCTGCAAAAAATCTATAACGTTGTCAAGAAATGACAGAAGTCTTTTACCAGTAAACAATTTTAGTGTTAATTTTTGAATTTGAGAAAATGTAAATGATATGGATGGTGCAAAAAGAATGGTTAATGCTTTAGCAGAGAGTATCGTCTCCCAATTACCATTAAGAACAAATGATCGAATCGAAGAACCAATGAGTGGTAAAATTTCAGAGACAACATAATCAAATTGATGATGTCGAATGCCCACCAGATTCATATAACGAGTGTACTCCGCGATTGTACGATTGAGACGAATATTTAGATTGAAAAAAGAGTATAGAACATTTGACCCACAAAGATAATTGCATACTTGTAATATTATTTCATCGGGCAACATTTCGAAAATATAAACTTCAGTCATCTAAAACAATTATTTATAAAATTCTGTTGATTGATATTTCAAATATATTTAGTTTCACACTACTCTGATGCCTAACGCATAATTGCAACGATGCAGCAAACAAAATTGCTTTTACATTATTAACATCACGTTGTGCAACCAACCGTTTTGTTTTTTCACTTTCATACAGTGTGGTGAAAATAAAAAGAAAGAAAAGAAAATTTGCATATTTACACAAAGTCATATGCGGTACATAATTACTTTATTGGGATGCTGGTAAACCTACAGAACGATTTGTCGTAGTTGTCGCTTTATACCTACAATGAAGACTTTGCGAAATCAGCATTCGAATCAAATTATAAAACATTGAAAATACTTATGTCAAAAACAGTGAAATAATTTTACATCGTACATATGTAATTTTTATTAATCTTTTGATCAGTATTTGATCCTTTGAAAATCAAGAATGGTAAAATGTTGATTTTTTTTTCGGGTGAATGAGTTAAACAGAAAAATTTACAAAATATCCCAACAGTTCATTCCTAAATTTTTTTTTTAAATATATGTGTCACAGACACAATTAAACTTAGACAGAGTTCGTTTTTAATTAAGCGCAAAACTATGAAAGAATTTTCTTTTATGTAATAGTAAATTCTAATCTTCATTTGGATTAAGAAAATAGAGCACATACTTGCTGGTTCTTTACTAGATAAAGTATTCATTTTTCACTTATTCATGCTGTAATGTATGCACCAATGACTTCTTCTGCACTGATATCGGAAAATGGTTTTCAATAGTATTTTCATAAACAAGCGCAATAATATTTAAAATTTTTTCGCATATCGAATTCTACGAGAAGACAGCTATTATTCTACTACAGGATATGCATAAATTCTTTTTTTTTAGTCAACGTGTGCGAAGACAAACTAAACCTTAATAGAAAACAGTGACAAAGTCTATATCTTTCTAGATTTAACTATTCTTCAATTAAAGCTGAACAGAACTGAATCTAGATATATAAGATCAGTTCTTTATTTTCATCTTTTTCGAGTTCTTTTTTAATTTTGAAATCTTTTAAAAACTCTCTTTAATTTTGCCTAAATCGCAACTTTGCTTGACATTTCTTCCGAGATTTCTCGGCAACGTCTGGACGAAAACTTATGAAATTTTCAAGACGGATAGATCTCAATAAGTAGAGCAAAAGTTGTTATAGACTTAAAATTCTCAGATGCTTCTTTCTGCGAGATATGGAAGTCGCAAAGATCATAAGTTCTCCAATCTCCCCGGAAAACTCTGTACTTCATTTTTTTTTATCAACAACCAAGATAAAATCAGGGTTTTTTCTTTTATTTCAAAAACATTGTTCCTAGCAGAGCTGCCTGCAGGCTTCTGGGAGAACTGAATAGACTTGTTGAATATTTTTACTAGATTTGTAAATACAATTGCATAATATGTGTCAGACATTTTTCTTATTTCTTCACGTTAACCTCGATCATATATTTAGTGCATGTCAATTCAGGTGATGAAAGAACGAATTCTTTCACTAATTAGAAAATTAAAAGATACAAAACTGGGCGAAAAATACAATCTTATCTATACGAAGAACAATGAACCACATGATTTCTGAACGACGCATTATGTCAAATTTTGATCAGATGCGTGAAAGGTCTTCTGGAAATCTTCATACTATAGGATTCTAACAAATTTGTCAATTAAGACTAATGCAAACTCAACATCACTATATAAGACTAAATATTGTCGCATGCAGCATCGTGGACGTACTTCCTTTGTTTTTAAATATAAGTAAGTACCATCACGACTAGAATGACAATTAATCGTATTACCCGTTCTTTGCTCACCTCTGTATAAGTGTTGAATGTTATTGCCATTTTCTAAGAAAATGACTTATTAATTTGATTTTGACCTATAAGAACAATGTTTTGATTTGTGATAGAAGCTTATTTAA